GGCTCTGCTGTCGCCGGCGGAGGAGAAGGCGCTGCCGGGTAAGTGTCGCCGCCGCCCGCGTCCCCTTCCCCCATCTGGACACCACTGCCGCTCGGCGGTCCTTGGCAGTGTGGGTCGGGGGCGCTGGGTCCCGGCCGCGCAGGTGTGTTTGCCACGGTGCCCGGAGTCCGGCCCCCGCAGGTGTTGCACAGAGGCCGCCTTCCCCGCGCGTCAGCTCTCGGAGACAAAAGCGGTTCGAGTCGATGCTCCAAGGGGCCGCGGGGTGTATGGGGCTGCCTTTGGCTCCCTCAGCTAAGGCCCCCAGGGCCACTTGAGAGCGCTTATGTTCAACACCTGGTGAAATTACGGGAGTGGCCGAGGGCAACAGAAGCCAGAACCCTCCGGGATGCAGCCTCACCCTGGTCACCATAGCCAGTGCTCAGCTCTAGAGGTGTGTTGGGCTAAAGAAACCGGAGAGTGGGGTTGGGTCGAGGCGCAGAATGGGAGGAACCTAGAGATGAGGTCTTTGTCCGACCCCCCGGAGTGCGAAGATCGGTGTAAAGTTACTCCTAGGAATGACTCAGCCTCCGCCCGCCTTACTGATAGATTTGGGATGGGGTGTGTGTGCGGATTTCACAACTTCTTTGGTAGAAACAAAAATACATTTACTAACAAGAGAAGTGGCAGCTTCTGAGTGGAGTGGCAATAGTTTCTTCCGCCGGCCAGTGGATGTGCTGTGTTTTCTGTTTATGGTTTCGTAATCGAGGCTTCTCCAGTGTGACTCCTAAGTGTGGTCATATCATGAAGTGGTATAGGTAGGCCTGGATGCCAAGGAACACTAATATGCTTACCTTTGAAAAAGTCACTACGGGGCATGGTGATGTTCTCGTCTGCTATGAACATTAAAAAGCACCCGTTTTACTAACCTTTTTTTAAGTGTAGTTTAGAAGTTTTTGTATTGATGGGTTTGTGTCATTTACGTGAAGGCTTGGAAAGTTAGCAGTTTTAAAAAGACTTTTAAAAAGGCTTGAGTGTTCAATCAAGAATGTTATTGTACTTTGATAGTTGATAAAAAAGATAGTCCTTGCACTTGTGGTCAGATGAGAAGTGAAAGGGAATTCTGAAGGAAGTTGGCTGATTTTATTATTTGGGTTATTGGATCTGTAAGAGGACCATAACTAGGAGTGTGAAATACTTTTTGTATTTAGTGTTGTTAACGTGGCTTGAATAAACATATTTTCTCAGTAATGTGCCTGTCTTTTTTTAAACGTTTATAATTGTCTACAAAACACTAGATTTATTTAATGGATGCTTTAGGTATGTTTGTTGATAAATCTCTGATGGATATTTGATATGGGCTTAGGCCATGTTTTATTTATTTTTTTCAGGCCGTTTCTTTGTTTGTTTAGGTACTGGGGATTAAATCCACACGTGCTTTACCACTGAGCTACATCCCATGCCCTTTTTCTTTTTATTTTGAAACAGGGTCTCACTAAGTTGCTGAAGATGATCTTAGGCTTGAGGCACTGCACCTGGTTTCAGGCTGTGTTTTAAAATCATTTAGTCTTGTTTTAAATCTTTAATGTTAATCAAATTGAATAGTATTTTGAGGCCTGATCAGGATGTCAGTGAAGACAGTGAAACAGTACTCTTGGCTTTAAAAGTTTTTCTGGGCCTTGCTGACAAACAGCAGGTCAGAATGCATAGCAGATTGACTTTACAAATTAAATTCATGAAGGCCAAAAAGGCAGAGGACACAAGACTTATGTTTTGTTTTGCTTTTTTTTTTTGAGCAAAGGGGATCCAACCCAGGGCCTCTTACATGCTAGGCATGCACTTTACCACTGAGCCACATCCCAGCCCCAAGAAAATTTTATTTACATTTAGCATGTATTTGAGGACTGTATGCTTTCCTTGTACACGTATATCACTTGATTATTTTTTTGGTACTGGGGGTTGAACCCAGAGGCGCTTTATTTACTACATCCAGAGTGTCCCCACCCTTTTAATACTAATATATATATATGATGAGAGAGAGGGGTAGGGATACACCAAGAGCCTTGCTAAATTACAGAGGCTGGTCTCAAACTTGTAATCCTCCTGTCTCAGCTGTCTGAGTTGCTGGGGTTATAAGAAAGGCTAGTAAAATTTTTTCATTCAGGTAATAATATTCTCTTGCCCCAATTACACTGTTTTGTCAGAAATACTGGCTGAGGAAACATAAATGAAAACCTAGCAATTCCTTTCTACCAGTATTCATGATCTTCACAAACACTCATGATTCTTTTTGTTATTTACTTACCACAGTGAAGAGACTCAATTATTAACTCTGGAATGTTAGAGTTTTTTATGGGCTATGAAACTGCAGCACTGAAACAAGAAGAGTTTTTAAGAAGTTGTTCCTTTGAAAAGTAAAATTGGAGTCATGTATAAAAACAACTATGGGTATTATTGGAACATCAAGGAATTTGAGGTTCTGTAGGGTTTAGGAGGAGATTTGGAGGAGGAAAAAGCATAAGGTAACATGGATAAGTCTCTTTGTCTCTATTTAAAAATTCCTAGCTATTTCAGAGTTGTGACTTACACTTATTGTGTACCTACTAGATATTGCTCCAGAAGATGGGGATGCAACAGTGAACAAACCCAAATCCCTGTCTTCATTAAAAATAAAACGGACAGTACAATAATTGCTAAGGAGAAAAGGCAGGGATGGGAGGAATTGAGGAATGGATTTGAAACTTTAGATACTATGGCCAGTGAAGGCCTGGGTGTCTGGCTTTTGATTAAAGACCCAAGAGAATTAAGGAGGGGTTAGATGCTTGTCCATCTGGGAAAAGGAATATTTTTGACACAAGGAATTGTAAGTGTGAAGGCTCGGGAGATTCAAGACATATAGGAAAAATGGAGAGGTTTCTGAAGATGGACTGTCATGAGTGAGGGGGAAGAGTAGAAAAATGGGATTGTACAAATAATTAAGTCACTGTAAGGAAACTGTAATATACTCTACAGGCTGCATGTATAAAGGCACAGAGGTGGGTTCCAGGAAACCCAGCAAGATTTGGAAAGCAGTTGGAATCAAATTCATTCCTTCCTGAAAATTCCTGCAACACACAGTCCAGTAATGTGCCAGTGGACTAGAGGGACTAGTTGTGTATGTGTATTTATAGGAAATAGTGAATCATTGGAAATTTGTGTAAAATGACAAATGTAGATTGCTTTGAGGTGGTAGGGTGGATAGAAGACTAGCAGATTGTGGAGTTCTAGGTTGAAGAGTGTGTGCTCACTGTCAGATAAAAAAATGTAAAGGTTATTACATTTTTCTGATTCTTCATATTGGACTTAGGAAACCTGATTTGCCTATAAATTGAACCTCCATTTCCCATGGCCCTGAGACCATGGCCTTTCTTTCCATCTCTCTGTAAAATTAAGGTTCTGATAAATTAGTTTTTGCAAGTACATGCAGTACTTGAGTGTTAACAGCATCCTTTCTGTTATTGGTTAGTTTTTGCTTTCACAGCTACTCAGTGAGTGCTCTAAGGATTGTGGAATAACAATTTTTTCCTTCATCCATGATTTTGCTTTTCAAATTTTTATGCTTTATTGGTTTATAATTATGCCGATATGGAAATAATTGATCTATTTGTTTTGTTACTGACTCAATTATCCAGGTAGTCTTTCTCTTCATATTCTACACCTAACAGTTGGTCAGTAACTGTCCAGCACATCTGTTGAAATTTTAATTCAGTACCATACTACTTATCTCCATGGCCTTTGGTAACTGTTTTACTGAAGATGACAGATTTGCATATGCTTCTTTTTGCAGAGTGGGGGTGATGCTGGGGATTTAACCCAGGGGCACTCAATCCCTGAGCCACATCTCCAGCCCTTTTTATTTGTTTCAAAACAGGATATCACTAGGTTTCTAAGGGTCTCACTAAGTTGCTGAGGCTGGTCTTGAACTTGGAATCTTCCTGCCTCAGCCTCCTGAGTTGCTGAGATTACAGGTGTGCACCACTGCACCCAGTAGCACATGCTTTTTTGATATTGCTGTTTACAGGTAGTCTTGGTTTAATACGAGCTAATTTTAATATTTGTCATAGATAATTTAAAAAACTTTTACTTTTAAAATATATATTAAAAAACATGCAACCAAATTATTTTCACTAAAGTCATGCATTTTATCTTTTTTTTTAAATGAATGATAGGACACAAATGGATGATGTATTTGTACTGATGCAGATAGATTTATATGATTCAAGCAAGGTATATAGATTCATGTATAGCACTATCTCATTTTTATAAAACCAAATAAATCTGTATCTCTGTCTCATATACTTAGGGAATAAGTCACATATAAACTCTAAACTTTTTCATTTTTGTTGTTAAATACATTTTTGGTCTGCAATTTTTGCTTTCCTGTTTGCTATCTTTGGGCACTAACTTTCAAATGCTACCTTCTAATTTGGTGCTGTCCTTACATGAGGCAGCTTGGCTAGTTGCAGACATACATTGGGGAGACCTTAGACTTTTATGAAGATAGTTTTCTTTTGGAGAATGTGAGGAAGATGTATAATTTATTCTTCTTGCCTTTTTTCTCCTCTTTTCCTCTTGGCAGAGAAAAGATAGTATCAAATGGGAATACATCTTTTTTGGAGAGGCTAGTGCCCAATTTTCAGTCCTTGGGCAACCTAGTCACTC